CCTGGCTGCCTCAGGACACTATAGGATTTCTCAAACATGCATGAATGAGTCAAAGCAAGACTCTGGGCATGTTTTTGATGAGAGGATATTACAGTATAACATGATATAAACTCAAAAAAGTTGATTTTACATGATATAGCCCCATTAAATGATACAACTACATTTCATCACTGTTACTTTCATCAAGACATTTCTTAAAGTTTAAAATAATAATATTGGTAACAAAACTAAACGATTTTGTAAGAACGTCGTCTTTCACGCATTTATACATGTCAGGGAGAACAGTTTCAGTCAGATATTTACATACAGTAGTTTAGGTTTGAGCACCTGAACGAGCCACTCGAAGCTCGCTTAGTTTTCTGCTAAATCTTTGCAAACAAAAGTTGCCGTAACCTCTGTTATCTTTAAGTGCTGCTGAACAACTTGTCAGAAGTTAACATTAGCACTAAACGTCAACCGGATGTACACATACAGCAAGCCAGGAGTGAGCTAATTATTGCATTTAGAGTTTAACGCCTCAACAAGCTAAAAAAAACTGGTACATTTAATTATTTTTAAAATTCTTTTAAGTCATTAAAAAAACAACATCAACTCGTTCCAAGTTGCTCAAGAGTAACTAAGAACCACAGTCAGTGGTTCGTTGCTTCATCAACAAAATGATTAAATCAAAATTCCACTGCATCAATACCAGAACAGATTTGAACACTAACAGATCCTGCAGCTAACAAGGACCTACACTGGTATCAATTTAATGAACACAGTTATTGAAGGAAAGGATCAAGACACTGTTAATCTGTCGAAGTGTTTGAATTGTTATATTCCACCCTCTCCGTCTGTTTGCTTATTGGCTATCTTAGGTGATGTCACTATAGAGAAAAACACTTCTCGTTTGATTTCCACTGCCTTATGCATCGCAAAGGAAACCATACTCTTAAATTGGAAAAATAAAAATGATCTTAGCATTAATCAGTATAGAAATCTTCTGTTAGATCATTATAGTCTTGAAACAGCCTCTGCCGCCACATCAGATAAATCTGTCAGGGCTCCTTTGATTAGTTTCATCACATAGTGAGGGTGGGGGGTTTGGGATTGGACCTCTTGGGGCG